AGTCTAGAGGTTCAAGCAAGTACTCCGGCCGTACTAGTCTGGAGACTCAAGCAAGTACTCAGGTCGTACTAGTCTAGAGACTCAAGCAAGTACTCAGGTCGTACTAGTCTAGAGACTCAAGTAAGTATTCAGGTCGGACTATACTATAAGTTCAAGAAAAATGACTAACGAAGCTGTCAAGTTTAAAAATTCCATAAATATGGAAGAGTTGTGTTTATATTCTAAAGCTATGTGACAAAACATCAAATTAAACGAGAGTCTAACTTTTGCTGCTACGAAATATATATAAAAAGAATTGCACGCAATCGTAAAAAACAAAAACAAAAAACAACTGATTAATACACCTTGGAGTTGAAAAAGCAACAATATAGAATCAGACTTGGTGACGTCACATTACTGCGAAACCATACCTCACGCAGCACTATGGTTAGCAACATTAAAAAAATGGCAAAATGATTGAAACACTTAGAGTGGCTTTCCTCTTCAAGCACTCCAAATCATTCCTTAAGCCAATCTATATAGAACAGAACATCTTATTGGACAGTGCTACTATAATTAGACGGAGACACACGCGTGCCGTGCTTTCAGACAGATCTCTAATTTATGGGATAAACTAGATGACTTGGCCACTAAGTGAAGCTGAACATGGTCCACACGCTGAAGGCCTTCCTGAACCACTTAACATTCTAGTCCTATCTAACTACTTCTGCACTTATCTGAATTTTAAAGGATTAGTTCAGCAGGTTTCTAAAGTTAGAACAACAATTTAAGCCCGAGTTTCGGATGATTCCTCTATAATATACCATGTAGATATTTCCCTAAACGTTACTGAGTCATATCAGTCAAGGTTAACTGAAATATACCAAATAAAATATGTTTCTGACATACATATATATAAATTGTCAATACTTTTAAAACATTTACCTACTCGTAAGTATAAGTTACTCATAGGTCTTTAAAACTTACAGCGTTATAAATAATACTTCTGATGGAAGCTAATTTCTGTTTGTTTGTTTGTAATTAAGCACAAAGCTACACAGTGGGCTATCTGTGCTCTGCCCACCACGGGTATCGAAGCTAATTCCTAGTAGTTAAACTTTTATTAAGATACTTAAAATACGTAATAAATAATATTACTATCTTCCCATTTTTTTCCTTTTAAACTTACTATATTTGTTAAACATTTTAGTTGGAAAGTCGAATTCGTGAATATTACTGTTTGTTTCGAAACCGTACTTAAAACAGATTGATGGTGTGTTTTTTTTATCACAGTTCTCTAAGCATGTGGTCATATTTAAATGTGGTATGTGATTCTTGTGAGATTTACATTATAACTGTATTTATTTGGACCACAAACCGACGATTTTGAGTTACCACAAATTTTTATAAAATATTTTTTGTAATAAACGTGGTGCCCCCCCCCCCCCCCAGTGGCACAGTGGTGTGTCTGCGGACGTATACCGCTAGAAACCGGGTTTCGATACCAGTGGTGGGCAGAGCACAGATAGCCCATTGTGTTTAATTACAAATAAAGAAAAAAGTAATACACGCTGTTGACAATAGCTATACTTTTGCTTTTTTTACTTTCTGGTGGGTGGCAATAATTATATACAAATTTTAGATAGTTAAATACCATTTTTCATGACAATATTTAAAAAAATTCCTCTCTTGTGTCCCGCAGCGGTGCTATGCGGAACTCGAGACTGGACAGCAGACGGCTTCGACGCTATGATGGGGGTAAACTATGTGGGCCACTTTCTTCTGACAGTTCTTCTGCTGGACAAATTGTCCAGATGCCCAGATGGTCCAGCGCGTGTGATCAACATTGTATGTGGCAGCTGTAAAAAAGGTAATTTGGCCAACTTGTGGAACTTGGAAGGTCAGAGGGATGGAAACTACTCCTTCCGACACCACTACCATAATTCCAAGCTTGCACAGTATATTTTCACCAAAGAGCTAAGTCGAAGGTTCCGTTCTGTGGGAATACTAGCTTTTGCAGTTAATCCAGGTGAGTAAAAATTTAGAGTAGGTACGTTGAGTAGAGAAAAAATGAAAAATAATAAATATATGTAGCTCAAAAACATAACAAATATATGTAGCTACTACAGGTCAAACATAACAACTATATGTAGCTACTACAGGTCAAACATAACGAATATATGTAGCTACTACAGCTCAAAAAATAACAAATATATGTAGCTACTGCAGCTCAAAACATAACAAATATATGTAACTACTACAGATCCAAAAACATAACAAATACATGTAGCTACTACAGCTCAAAAACATAACAAATATATGTAGCTACTACAGGTCAAACATAACAACTATATGTAACTATTACAGGTCAAACATAACGAATATATGTAGCTACTACAGTTCAAAACATAACAAATATATGTAGCTACTACAGCTCAAAACATAACAACTATATGTAGCTACTACAGCTAAAAAAATAACAAATATATGTAGCTACTACAGCTCAAAAAATAACAAATATATGTAGCTATTGCAGCTCAAACATAACAAATATATGCAGCTACTACAGCTAAAAAAATAACAAATATATGTAGCTACTACAGCTCAAAAACATAACAAATATATGTAAATACTACATATCAAAACATAACAAATATATATATGTCGCTACTACATATCAAAAACATAACAAATATATGTCGCTTCTAGAGACCAAAAACATAACAAAATATTGTTACGTCTCTGTTCGTTTGTTAATTTTCCTTATAATTTATTTCCGATGAAACTTCAGCGACACTTTCTTAAATAAAACTAGTTTATTCCCTCTCAATATAACTTTGCAATACACTTAATTTCCACAGTTACTTTTCCTTAAACATACGCTATAATTCGTGTGGCTTAACAGTAACGGTGTTAACAATAGGCTACTGGTATTTGGTATTGAGTATTTATTTCCAGACTATAAATATAAACACAATGATTAAGACTAGTGTAGGAATTAAGCGTTCTCAGTTTGTTAGGTATAATGAGTGCAATAAGTGGGTTTTGTTTGGGAACTCGGAACTAACATGTACTTTTAAGGAAGCTAGTTGTGAAGATGTGCAATTTGTATGTAGATCTTGTAGGTTGGAGAAGTTGGAGGCTATCCTAATTAAAGTAGAGGCGATATATAAAGAGAAGTGTAGACTGTAGGAAATGGCAGCAGGATTTGAAGAAGAGTTTAAACTTTTACATCCAAGGAATAAATCAGCTAACAACGACATTTAAGAAGATAGAAAGAATATTATTAGAGCTAAACGTAGTGGATTTAATTGTAATAAGCCTATTGAGCAACAGATTTCAGCCCTTGGCTTCTGCAGACGAGGAACTATTGGAAGGAAGGAAAACAAAAGGGACAGAGAAGGATATGGATGATAAAGTTAAGGAGGTCATAGTTATAGGTGATTCCTTGATAAGGCATATGGATAGAATAGTCTGTGGGATAAATAGGGAAAAAAGACTTAGATTATTCTACCCAGGAGCACAGGTGGAGGATATCACTGACGGAGCAGGAGATATCATAAAGGGGCTAGTAGAGATGCAGCTTTTGTGGTGCATGTAGAGGCTAATGATGTAAAGAAAGGTACGTCAGAGGAGCTAACTAATAAGTACAACGGGTTGATAAAGGCATTTAAAGAAAAAGGTCATAACTTAATTTTCTCAGGCTTAGGTTAGTATGTAAGAATAAGCATATTGGCTGGTTGGACTTGTAGGATCAGTTCAATGAGAGTAGGGAGCTTTTTGGAATGGATGGTTTGCATTCGAATAAGATAGGTGGCTGACTTGTTTGTTATGGTTATTAACTCAGCTGTAAGGGATGTTTTAAACTAGGACTAGACAGTGGTGAGGGTCAGGATAAACTAAATGGAAAAAGAATAAGAGTCAGAGAAAGGTTTAGCATAAGAAATGAGCATAAAAGCAGTTATAAGGGTCCATTCCTACCAGTGCTCTAAAGTCATCTATTTTATTTCCTATACTTCTAGCATTACAATAGTAACAATTAAGCCTAATCTAAATTATATCTAAATATTTATATCTAAATCCATAACTGAAACATGGTCAACCGTAGATGATTTTGATGACAGAAATTTCTTTGATATACAGGGTAACAGGCTATTAAATAGGAATAGAGTGTTACAGAGAGGAAGAGGATATCAAAGATAATAGTAAGGAGATTGAATCCATTTGGGTTTCTATTAGTGGATATAAAGGGAAAAGGCTTTTAGTGGGGAGTTGTTACAGAACACCAGATGATACTGATGAAATTAGTTAGATACTTTACAGTGAGAGTAAGATTTCAGCTATTAATGAAGTTATAATTATGGGTGATTTTAATTTCACACATATAGATTGGAAAATGCTTGAGTCAAACCGTGAGGGAGAAAGGTTTTTGAAAACTGTTCAAGATATCTTTCTTCACCAATTAGTCAAGGAACCTACTAAAACAATGCAATTTTAGATTTATTGTTAACTTCAAATATAGAAATGATCGAGAGGGTGGAAATTGGGGAACATCTGGGTCATTGCTCTATTAGGTTCAACGTTTTGCTGCATATGGAGATAAGGAATAATGATATTTTGGTTACAAATTTCAAAAAAGCAAATTTTGAAGGATGCGACAAGAATTATATGTTGTGAATTGGACAGCTGAGTTATTTGGAGACACTGATCAGATGTGGAAACATTTTAAAGGTAAATTTTTAAATATTCAAGGTAAACATATTCCTTATAGAAAGAAAAGGGTAGCTGCAAGTAAAAAACAGGTTGGATCACAAAGAGTATAAGAGATTAAATTAAAGAAAAGCATCACAAATGCAAGAAACTTAAATTGACTGGTATGACGGGAGATTTAGAATATCAAGAAAGTTGGTAAAACAGGAAATTAGGACATCAAAAAGAATGTATGAGAAAAGGTTGGCCATTAAGGATTTCTTTAAATACATTAAGGGTAAACAAAATGTTCAGATGAGGGTGGACCCTTGTGGGATGATAAAGGAAAGCTCGTATCTGATGGTTATAAAATGGCTGGGTTATTAAATCTTGCTTTTTCTTCAGTTTTTAGTAACGAAGATTTAAGCAGTATGATAGATAGATGGTAAAAAGATCGAACAAGATGACTGCATTAATTCTGAACTTGTTGAGAAAAATTTGGGATGTTTAAAGAACGATAAGGCTCCTTGGCCAGATAATATATCCCTAAGGGTTTGAAGAAGGTTAAAGATTGGATATATGAGCCACTTGCTACTATTTATTGTAAGTCCTTGAATAGTGGGCAGGTACCAGAGGATTGGAAGTTAGCTAATGTAACTCCTCTTATCAATGTTGGTGATAAAAATCGTCGCAGTAATTACAGGCCCATTAGTCTTACATCAGTTGTGGGAAAAGTTTTGGAAAGTCTGTTAAAAGATGCTTTGCAAAACCATTTAACAAAGTTTAGAATTTTTTTGAATAGTCAACATGGTTTCAGGGAAAATCTTGCATTAAAAAATCTTTTGACATTCTTTGAAAATGTAACTGCTTATGTAGATGATGGTAAGGGTGTAGATTTGGTGTATCTGGATTTTCAGAAAGCATTTGACAAGGTGCCACATAAAAGGCTTGTAAACATTATCTCTGTAGGTGTGGGGGATAAGTTAGCAAATTGGATAAAAGAGTGCCTAGATGGAAGAATGCAGGGGGTTGTTAAAAATGGGGTACCTCAGGGCTCAGTCCTAGGATGTTTACTATTTTTGATTTATATCAATAATATAGATGAAGATGTTACTTAAATTTGCACATGATTTTAAGATCTTGGGTGGTGCTAGCTGTGAAGAGGATGCTGCTGATTTACAAAAGGAAATAGATCATTTAATGAGTTGGACAAATAAATGCAAGATAAGGCATGTGGGTTATCATAATTTGAATTATAAGTATAATTTGGATAGGAATAACCATAACAGTGTCATGAAAGAAAGGGATCTTGGTGTAATAGTTGATCAGTCTCTTTAGTCACCCAAGCAGTGTGCTGTTGCTAGTGGTAGGGCAAATAGGATTTTAGTTTGTATCTACAGAAGTATTAAATACAAGTCTAAAGTGGTTATAATTTCATTGTATAAGTCTCTAGTTAGGCCACATTTGGAGCATTGTGTTCAGTGTGGAAAGGGTCCAGAGAAGGGTTACTAGAATGTTGTCTGGGATAGAGGGGTTGTCATACGAAGAAGTGTTGAAATCTCTCAAGTTGTTTTCCCTTAAAAAAAGAAGAGTTAGAGGGGATCTGGTTGAGGTATTTAACATTGTAAAGGGAATTGATAGTTTTGATGCATCATCTTTTTCATACTTAACAGTGAGAATGGTAGGACTAGAAGACACAAACATAAATTTTGTCAGGGTAGGAGTCACCTTCAGCTAAGACAGTTATATTTCTCTAACATGGAATGGGTTACCTTCGGATGTTGTGGAGATAGTAAATTTAAGTGAGTTTAATAGAAAGCTTGATAAGTATACGAATGATAAGGGCTGGCTTTAATATTTGTTTCGATTTATGATTTATTTATTAATAGTTTTAGTTTAGTTTAGAAGGTGGAACAGCCTAGATGGACCAATAAGTCCTATGTTGTCTCAAAACATTATGTTATGTTATCAAATTAAGTTATTCGCATTACTACTTGTTAGGATGAATTTTAGTTTAGTTACTAAACACTTATATTGTTATATTTTAATCACGTTTAAACGTATTTATATATATCATCTAACTTAAGTTTTACCATATGTGTTTGATTAATTATATTTTCGTTCTTTAATAAGGTCTGGTATCCTCTGGATTGTACAAGGCACTGAAAGGCATTTCAGGCCAACTGACCCAGATTTGTGCTAAAGTTCTCTATCGTACTCCTGAGGAAGGGATCCAAACGATACTTCACTGTCTTCTAGCAAAAGGAATCGAACCAAATTCTGGCGCTCTTTTTCGTGACTGTCGAGTGCAAGACATCAATGTTCCAAAGTGGGATGACCAAGTAGCCAAAGAATTATGGGAGAATACTTGTCGGCTGATAAAACAGAAAGGTATACCTATCACATTAAAGGAAAACGATGACGAAGGAATCAGTTAAATCCACCGTTACTGTCTGATATTTTTTCTAAATGTCACGTTTGTTTTCTTTTTAAAAAGTAATTCTTGGTTGCATTATAAGTTTGCTTGTGTATATCAACGCTACTTACTTACGTAATATGGAGCTAATACAAGTTAATTTTATTTATAATACTGTGTACAATCCACAGTCAGGCTCTGAATAGAAATGTAGCAAATTTTTAGATGCAATTGAATTTGTCAGATAAAGTTTTTTCGGTGTTTATTGAGAAAAGAAACAACCTGCAGAGTTCTAGGGAATGTTTTAATTTCATATTACATGTATTGCAAAACTTTTTTTTATGTTTGCAAAAATTAATGTTTTCTGTCACTTTTAGTGAATTATTAATTCTTTAGGTTACTTTTGTCTTTTTTTTAACGTGTTTTCATGACGTAACGTTGTAATAAGTTTTGTAAGCCATGAATACATTTCATGGTACTATATAGAAATAAAAAATTAATTCAACATATTTTAGGTAGTTTGTAATTACTGATGGAGCTGTGATAGTTTGAGTTGTTAAAAAAAAAAGATCTTACCTACAAGGTAAGTGCTAGTGGGTTATCTCAGTTGGTAACATTTGGGTTAACCATTTATCTCAGTTGCTAAAGTTTAATCCTGCTTGCGGGAAACGCTAAAACTGAATTACCACGGCAAAAATGGCGCCAAACTAGTGGTTGTCCCAGACCTGAGATAAGGGCCGAGTACGGGCTGTGCTGACGAGTTAACCCTTTAGTTTAACCGGTAGAGTACTCATTTGACGTACGAGCTATTCTTGTTTCGATCATACTCGCGAGAGAAAGATGTAACAATTACTTACCATCGAGTTGCAAAGCAATGTTCCCTGTAATTATATACACCGAGTTTTGATTAATACTTAAGTTATATCTCGCCAAAATACAAACAAGAGATACTGATTGAAACGACACCAGTGTTTGCTGTATTATTTATTCCACAATCTTGAGTATTTATTGGATACAAAATAGGTGAGGATATATAATTATTGTGTACATATTATCTCAAAGGAGTGGTATAAAAAAAACTTGGCTGTCACATGGATTGAATCAAACATATCTTCTTAACTGTTCATTGATACTACCACGAGTACAGGGTTTCTGTACAAAAGTCTAGTCCACTTTATTCAAGATAATGATATTAATAATAGAAACGCCATTCCTGATGCTTGATCTACTCATTATTTGGAATACAGTTGTTCAAGAATGTCAGTATAGATTAGAAAAAACAACAAAACGATCCACAGGAACGAGACAACGTAAGCTCACCCTAAGATCCCTGGTTATTAAAGAAAGAAGTCCAGAAATGAAGAAGAATATACTGTTTATTTTAGGTTGTTAGTGTTTGCAAAATCAAAAACAGTTCAGATATCCCGAAACAAAGTACTTACAGTAGATGTTATAAGAAACTATGGTCCGAACGGCCGTTGACATTCACTGTACTTGGATAATAATATATAACTGATCAGTAACTGTGAAAGTTGGTTAAGCACTGGAACAGAAACATGCCATAAATCAATAATGAAAACATTTCTATTTTTGTTAAAATTAATTAATTACATAAGGTCGCTATTAAACACATTTTTTTTTTTTTTACATTTAAACACAAAGTTACATAATAGGCTATATGTGATGTGCCCACTAGGTATCGAAACCCATCTTTTATCGTTATAAGTATTCAGATTTACCGTTGAGCCACTGGGGGGGGGGGGGCATGCACAAAGTCAAAACTTAAATAATAAAATGCATTTTTGTATTGAAAACTGTAGTGATGTATTATATTAATAGCAATCATATTTTATAAATTTGTTGCTTAATTGTCTTAATATAGATTTTCAATAAGAAAGGTGCATAAAGGTATTTCACTAGTCATATATATTGCTTGGCACTGCCGACAAGGCCCTTCGCTCACCACCAGGACTCGTCTTGTCAGAAGTTATAGATTAATCTCCTACAAGAGAATGAAGAGTTGATAATTTAGAAAGAACATTTTTCTTGCAACTGTGATAATTTTGAAACTCTGTATATCTTGCCTCCCAGTGGCACAGTGGCATGTCTGCAGACTTACAACGCTAGAAACCGGGTTTCGATACCCGTGGTGGGCAGAGCACAGACAGCCCATTCAAACAAACAAACTGTATTTCTTCCTATTACTCTACTGTTCCGTCGTATATATATAGGTTATCGTGCTAAGTAAATAATGTTATTTCCGTTTCTAAATCTATACTGTAACTGCCAATTATGTTTATCCATGTTATATTTGATTTTTAAGCTATTTCCACAATTTCCAACTAAACGTCTTGTACTTTGTCATGTAGGCCCTTGACCCCCTATAATATTTGCAGAAATAAAATGCTTTGAAAGACTCGTAAGGGGGGGGACTCAAAATGGGGGATCAAGGGAGGCTCTCAGATTTAATTGAATCGATGTATTTCATTTGATTGTTTGTTTGCTGTTAAACACAATAGGCTATCTGTTTTCTTCTCACCGCGAGTGCCGAAACCCAGTTTGTAGCGTGAAAAGTTCTCACACTTATCACTGAGCCAACGGGAGAATTTATTTGAAAAATGGTATTAATAGGTAATTAACCAATCAGAACAAAGAGCTAATAAATATAGGTTTTATAAATTTCTCATACAGGGGTTTGAAGGTTATCGGGACTGATCCATGTTTCACATGAAAATTGGCATACACGTGTAAGAGATCGTTAAAAAGAGATTTTTTCGAAATGTGCAAAGTAGTAGATAAAGAAAATTTTTGGGGGATCTCAGGGTTGGCTCCACAATGTTACTCAAAACTTGATAAGATAATGTATAAAAGATTTCACAGTTAATTTATAGGCACAGAAATAACACGAATTATTTATGTTAATACAATATATTATGGCGAAATTAAAACAGATCACCTGCAAGTTATTAACAGACTCAAGACAATCCTTAATTTAATCTAAGTCAAGTAGAAACATTCTATACATGTACTGTATGTATATCAGGAGTCCTCTCTAGTATTCCCAGTGAGAGACTTATCGGTCAGTTACTCCACTAATCGTGTTGATACTGTCAATATAAGATACGTTTGAGAGGCGAAGATTAAGTCCTACATGTAAATGTTCAATAAATTACAACAGCTCTTTTTCTAAAACAAACTACAGCCTCTATCAATTTCAAATGGAAACGCAGAGGCTGTGAAAATGTTTCTGTATTTTCTAGGTAAACATTTATTACTTGTTATTACTTTTTCCATTAGGTTTAGTCCAAACTTGTGTTTGACCTCATTTCACTAGGTTGAGACCAATGTTTGACCTCTTTCAACTTGGTTACAATGGGACTACTAAAAGAAACCTTAAAGAGTAAGTAGTGGTTTAAGTGGAAGGCGTTAAGCATCGTCTGTAGATGGAAGATATATTAATTAATCAAACAGAAGTTAATAATTAGAGTCGAGTTCAAAATAAATCTTAAGAATACCGTTTATTCATAGTTAAGACACACACACACACACTACCCCTTCAAACATTCGTAATAATCACGGATAAAGTTTCTTACAAACTGCCTAACAATTTCTCAGTACATCATCTTCAACGACAGTAAGGTCTGTGGTCAATAAAAGTGTTTGTTATAGTATGATATTTCATTACCTCAGAATTATAAGTTACAAATCAAATTGCTACACCTTATAAATGGATAAAAACATGCATTTTCCATAATCAAAAACTTATAGTATGCATATTTCTAGATCATTTTATGTTTTACTCTACATCGTTAAACTTTTTTATTAACCTGTTGAAGTAGTTTCAATAGACACATCTGAAAGTTGAACTTGTAAGTATGTATAACGTTTATTATTACATTTGAAAATCATCATAAGAAATCAGGATATTATTTTTTGTTCTCAGATGCGTCACCTTCCTCAGGAAACTTCTTCTGAACAATCAAGACTCAAGGAAAATTGGCGAAAATGAAACGTTACGAAAATTCATACTAATATGATAATCCGATAAAACAAAACTTTAATTACAACTAATGTTAAAAAGACATGTTCTATATATCTTTAATTTGTTTATAACTATTTCATATACAAGCATATACAAATATGACGGTTAACGTCGTTTTATAGGATCGATTTTACTGAATTTAAGCATAGTTAATATCTATGTTATTCTTTGATTATTTTCTGAATTTGTGTGAAAAATTTTGATTGCAAGCTTGAAATATTTTTAGCCGCGGCATAGCGGCTCATAGAATGGCTCTGAGTTTCTTTTTTTTTTCTAGTACATACTTTTAACTT